AGATCAAAAAGTCACAGTGCTGATCATATGGAGGACAGTGGAAGGGAAAGACAGTGGACTTTGCACTATTACTTGGAAAGTTCTAGAAAGGAGAGACATGCTGAGAGACTAAGACAGTGGTTCTGGGGATAGAACAAAGAAACCAGTCAGCGGTCATCAGATCCTGTCCACTCTCTCTCTGAAACTTCTTTACCAATTTAGTCAAATGTCTCAATAATGTCCTTTATGGCATTTTGTTTTCCTCCTGTCCAGGATCTTGTCCAGGGTCACATATTGTGTTTGTTATGTCTCTTTAGTCTCCTTTATTTGAAACAGTTCATCAGCTTTCCATTACCTTTCATGACACTGACATATTTGAAATGTACAGGTCAGTTATTTTATAGGCTGTTTCTTAACTTTTGTTTGTCTCATGTTTTCTCAAAATTAGATTTAGGTTATGCATTTCCAGTGGGAATACCACATAAGCAGTGTTGAATCCTCCTGAGAGTCACATCTGGAGACCACATGATGCCCGCCTGCTCTTCTTTGCTTATTTTAATCTTGATTATCTGTTAGGATATTGTCTGGTTTCCCCACTGTATAGTTACTCTTTTCCCCCTTGTTACCAATTTGTGATCAGTGGGAAAATACTTTAAGACCATAGAAATATTCTGCTCTTCAACAAACTTGCCTGCCTAGATTAAGTATTCTCTGATGATTCTTGTCCAGATCAATCTTTACCATGAAGATTGCAAAACTGTAATTTTCCAAATCTTCCCTGCCTTCCACCAGAACTTCCATTTTTAAACCAGACACATTACTACCCGAAATAAATGATTATGTACTCCAGTTTGGCCATGGTTTTTTAACTAAATCCTAACAAGTGTTCTGTGGGACTTCCAAGAAGTCTTCTTAAAAATGCAAGGGTGAGGTAGAAGTGGGAACTGGTGTCTTCCTCCTCTTTCCTAGGAAGAACATGGTGTAAGAAGAGAAAAGAGCAAATTACTAGGGCCCTAAGGGACACTGAAAGTTGCTGGGTAACCAAAAAAAAAAAAAAAAAGAGTAACCTGTATAGAAGTCTGAAAAAAATCAAACATCAGAACCCAGTGGTGCCTCCAGAATCAAAGGAAGGAAGAGGTTTAAGGAGAACAGAATGAACAGTTTAAATATCAAAAGGAGGTCAAACAAAATAAGGACTGAAAAGTCTCTACTGAATTCAGTCATTTGGAGGTCTTTGATAGCCTAACGAGGAATTTTACTAAAATGGATGGGAAACCTGAACTGTGGCAAGTTAAGAACCAAAGACAAAATATCAGCATTAAGTTTAGACAACTCTGCCACAAAGATTGCTTCAAAAGAAAAGGAATAGGATTGGGCAAAAACTAACCCTCGGACTATACATTGACAGCAAAGATACTATCTTCTTTCATCTTGACTTTCCAGTCAGATGTATGCTTGCACGTAGTAAACAATAAATAAATATTAGCTGAATACAAACTAGACAAAAGAAGTCTCCTCCCTTAGAGACCTCACACTCAAGTAAGTAAACAAACGGAGTAGGATGCATGGTTAAGGGTTTTTTCAGGATAAAATATAATAGTTTTTCAAGTTCATGGCATTATGCATACAGCTCTGTGAGTTTTGACAAACGAATGTAATCATAAAGCAACCACAACAAATTATTGAGTATTTCTATCATTCCCCACTCCCCAAATTCCCTCATGTCCCTTACCCATGCCCCCTAGTCCCTGGCAACCACTGATCTAATTTCTGCCCCCATAGTTTTGACTGTTTCAGAATGTCATGTAAATGGCATTCAAACAGGAGTCTATTTGTTTACTAGATAATCAAACCAGAGCCTTTTGCATCTGGTTTATTTCATTTAGCATATAGCTTTTAAGATTCATCCGTCTTGTTGCTTGTGTAGTTCATTCCTTTTGATTGGTGAGTGGTACGACGATTTGTCTATTTCTCAGTTGATGGATATTTGAGTTGCTTACAGTGTGGGGCAATTATAAATAAAAATGCTATAAACCTTTGCATATAGGTCTTTGTGTGGGCATACATGTTCATTTCTTTTGGTCCTTGGGAGAGGATTACTGAGTGTAAATTAACTTTTTAAGAAAACTGCCTAATTTTTCCCAAGTGATTATACCATTTTACATGCCTACAGCGTATGAGCTCCTGATGCTTTGGATCTTCCTCAGAACTTGACATTGTCAGTTTTAAAAGTTTGGCTGTTTTAATACATGTACACTGATATCTCGTTGTGGTTTCAATTTCCATTTCCTACTGCATTTGCACTCTGTTAATTATGTTGAGTATCTCTTCACGTGTTTATTTGTTGTTTGTACCTCTTCCTTGGTGAATTCAAATCTGTTGCTCATTTTAATTATTGCGTTGTCTGTTTTCTTATTATTGAGTTGTGAAAGTCTTTACATACTCTGAATTCAAATCCTTTATCAGATAAGTGTTTTTCAAATATTTTCTCCATGTCTGTGGCTTGTCTCCATTTTCTTAACAATATTTTTTGAAAAGCAGATGTTTAAATTTTTGATGAAGTCCAATTTATCAAGTTTTTATGCTTCATACTTTCATGTTCTGTCTCAGAAATCTTTGTCTAATTCAAGGTCCTATGTTTTCTCCTAAATAGTTTATAGTTTAGATTTTAGGTCTATAATCTATTTTGAGCTAGGTTTTATATGTGGAGAGAATAGGAGATTTGAACATATTTATCATTAGAGAAAAAGAGCGACTAAAGATATATGATCTAACAAAATCACAAAAGAGTTAAAAGCAGGTTGGAACAGAAAGTTCATGAGGACACAAATGAATCCCTTTTCCCACTAAAACAAAAAGGAAAGAAATTAAAGCAAAATTTGTAAGTGGGTGGGGTTGGGGGGAGTTACATGGTATCACCTCTTGGTCTGCATTTTCTCCGGAAGGAGACAAGAGCATCTGATAAAAGAAGAGAGATGAGGCTAGAGAACAGTAGGTTGGAGAAGAGTAACTAAGATCTGGCACAGAAACTATGGAGAGTGGGGAAGAAAGGTAACCAGTAACAAATAAAAGGGAAGCTAAATGATGGTAGGGACCCAGGCAAGTCTGGAAACCTTGAAATTGCATTTGCTTTTGTTAGGCAATTGTTTTTGGTTGCATAGCTGAACATGATCAACACACAAGCCATGAGGCCAATGCAGGAAGAGGCTTGGCAGAGGACACAGAGTGAATTCACAGAGACTGATGAGAAGTGACACTCCTGTTTAGACAGGAGAGGAAATGAGTCCAAGAGAAATGGATAGGAGGAGACTATAAAAAGCGGCTGCAGGAGTATAAGGTCTAGGTGAGGCTGACAAGCAAACTCCAAATCCAATGGTTATTCTGTGCTCTGCTCAAGGGATCAAATGACATATATGATCTATACCTCAGTTAGGATTCATTTGGTTGCAAGTAAAAAAATTTGATTTAACCAAATAAAAATGACATAAACAACACAGGTTTGTTTTAGTTTTGTTTTTTCTCCACTTTGTTTCTCTTCCACAACAAGAAGCCTGGAAGTAGGAAGCTCTGGGAATGGTGAAATAAGTGGTACGGCAGGTCCAGGATTCTGGGGTAATCTCTCTGCTATTGGCCTGGTTTGCCGTCATAATTACAAAATGGCCACCAGAACACCAAGCTTTACATCTTGGCCATACTTCTTTCTTTTTTTTTCCTTTGGCATTTTAAGACATTTTTATTGTGGACAAAAGCATAAAGAAAAGTGATAAAATAGCAAAGTGAATCCCATGGACTCATCACTCAGCTTCAACAGTGATCACCTATGGGCAAACCTGCTTATCTTCCACTGCCACCCACATCCCTCTTCCTGGGTTATTCTGAATCAGATACCAAGTGTCTGGCCATTCCATGCTGGAGCTCAATCTTTACTTCTTTCCCTCGTCCCACATGTCCAATCCATTAGCACATTCCACAGTTTTTTGTTTGTTTTTGGTTTTGTCTCCAAAATATACCCTGACTGTGTCGCTGCTACTCTAGTGCAGGCACCATCATATCTCACCTGCACCACTCCGAGAGCCTCCTAATTGGTTTTCCTGTTTCTTCTCTTGTCGTGGCCATATTTCATAGGTAAGAAGAAGGAAAAGGCTTTATACTCATGGTCTGTCTTTTCACATGGAGGAAAATTTTCCCAGAAGTCCTTTCCTCACTAGATTTCCCTCTGCTCCCAATGGTTGATATACAACCTCCTACTGGTAAAGTTGACTGGTTAATTAATTAATTAATTAATTACAGCCTTAGGGCTTCCATTTACCTGACTTCCTCGATGTTAATCTGCAGTCACATATTAGATACTGCCACTAAATCATCTTCATATGCTGAACTTGGATCATTTGTGTTTTATCTAACAAATGGATATCTGAGGTAGGTAGAGGGAGCTACCTGGTAGGCAACAGTTTGATTTCAAATATATTACCATCTTCCTCTGCCTCAGTGTTTTTGAAATTATTTGAATAGTTTTTGCATTTTACCTTCATTTTACCAAAAGTATAAAATATAAAATGAAAGTGTTAATAATGGGAATTAGAAGCACTGGTTTTATACAGTCGTGACAGTCTGAAAGATAGGAATCCTCAGCCTCCTCAGATGCTTTTTTAGCCATAAACTGGTTAATTTTTATACAGTTGAAATGAAAAAATACACAATTGATAATATGAGTAAAATGCTAGAACAATATTGCCAAAGGTTATGCCTAAAGTTTCACATAGATATACACAATTTTTTATACTCTGGAATAAACTCCTCCTTTTAGCATATAATTCTATTGTTCAGCTTTCATGCATTTGATTTAAATCCACATTTTCACAAACTCCTGTATGAAAAGGGAATCATTTTCCTTTCTTTATATTCAAAATTCTCCAATCCTGTGATTTTGCTGAATCACCTTATTTCATTCCTTCCTAACACCCCCACCAATCCTTTTAATCTTAAAAGAAATCTAATATTGCTGTTCCTCTTATGTTTACCTCTGACTTTTCCTCTCTGTTGAACTACAGCTCTCCCCTCTCAGCCCTTTTCATTGGAGTTGTACTCTTTTTCCTTTTCTCTACATTGTTGGCCAAACATCTCCATTATTTTTCTTTCCAGAGTGATTCTAAATGCTTTTAGGCAAAGTGATTAGACATATAGTCAATGTAAGGAAGAATGAGAAATTAAAGTAACTCATTTGTTGGCAAGTGCCACTGTTTCTTAGTATGTTATTACAGGTAGATTATTTCTTGCTCATCCTCTCTAGGCCGTAAGAACTATTCCTCTACTCAGCACATCTGTGACTATCCTGTTATAAGCACTAAATGTAACTTTAACAAACAAAATGCAGTGAACAGTGCACACAGAAGACCTAAACTCCAATTTAATGTCTGTCCTTCATATCAAAATAAACACAGCAAAATCTTACTAATTTACATGTAGTAGAGTGAAAACTCTAAATATGTGAAAAATCTGAATTACAGGCTTTAAAAAACTAAATCATTCAAAAACAAGCAATGGGGAAAAGATCCCCTATTTAACAAATGGTGTTGGGAAAACTGGCTAGCCACATACAGAAAACTGAAACTCAATCCCTTTCTTATACCTTATACAAAAATTAACTAATTATGGATTAAAGACTTAAATGTAAGACCTAAAACCATAGAAACCCTAGAAGAAAACCTAGGCAATACCATTCAGGACATAGGCATGGCCTAAAACACCAAAAGCAATGACAGCAAAAGCCAAAATTGACAAATGGGATCTAATTAAACTCCAGAGCTTCTGCACAGCAAAAGAAACTATCACCAGAGTGAACAGGCAACCTACAGAATGGGAGAAAATTTTTGCATTCTAGCCATCTGACAAAGGGCTAATATCCAGAATCTACAAGGAACTTCAACAAATTTATAAGAAATAACAAACAACTCCATCAAAAAGTGGGCAAAGGATATGAACAGACACTTCTCAAAAGAAGACATTCATGTGGCCAACAAACATGAAAAAAAGCTCATCATCACTGGTCATTAGAGAAATGCAAATCAAAACTACAATGAAATATCATCTCATGCCAGTTAGAATGACAATTATTAAAAAGTCAGGAAACAACACACGCTGGAGAGGATGTGGAGAAATAGGAACGCTTTTACACTGTTAGTGGGAATGTAAATTAGTTCAACCATTGTGGAAGACAGTGTGGTGATTCTTCAAGGATCTAGTACCAGAAATACCATTTGACCCAGCAATCCCATTATTGTGTATATACCCAAAGGATTATAAATTATTCTACTATAAAGGCACATGTGCACATATGTTTATTGCAGCACTGTTCACAATAGCAAAGACTTGGAACCAACCCAAATGCCCATCAATGATAGACTGGATAAAGAAAACGTCACACATGTACACCATGAAATACTATGCAGCCATAAAAAAAGATGAGCTCAAGTCCTTTTCAGGGACATGGATGAAGCTGGAAACCAACATTCTCAGCAAACTAACACAGAAACAGAAAACCAAACACCATGTGTTCTCATTCATAAGTGGGAGTTCAACAATGAGAACACATGGACACAAGGAAGGGAACATCACACATCAGGGCCTGTCAGGGGGTGATGGGGGGCAGGGGAGGGGTAGCATTAGGAGAAATACCTAATGTAGATGATGGGTTGATGGGTCTGCACATTCTGCACATGTATCCCAGAACTTAAAGTATTAGGAAAAAAAAAAAAACTAAATCATTGTATTCCTTTTGGAAACATATAGTAACTTGAACTACTAAGAAGTGGTTTCTAAGTAGAAGCTCTAGTTGCCCACTTTAGTGATGAAATAACACTTTGGGTAGTTAGTAGGATCTATCTGCATATAAATAGCAAATGCATTTATCTCCTTTAAAAACCATTTCTTCTTTTAAGTAGGCTAACATCCTAACCACCACAACCACATAATCACAGTCTCACTTAGGGGACTAATTTGCTTTCTTTAGATAGCAGTAAAAGTCATTCCTTCCAAGAATGGCTTCGTTAGTAATTTACATTTTACATTATTTTAATCTCTATAGAGTTATATGCCTGACAAATTTAGAAGGGGTTAGAAAGGGATAGACTGAATTAAAATAGTGTATATGATTTCAACTGCAAGGGACAGATTCAAACATTGCTTTAGGCCTTGGTGACCCTCAATTTATCACTCAATTTACCATAAATAATTAGGCAGTTATTTTGTTATATCATAATATATATGGGTCTTGAGGTTAGAGAAACAAATCAAGATTATACTCAAAGTTTGTACCGAGAATTGACAGGCTTTGAAACCCGAAGATACAGCACTTAACTGATGCCCTACCTTCACCTCCCAAATTTATTTTAGGGATAAGAAAAAGAGAGTAAGTGCCATTCAAACCCCATAAGATTTAGAGTAAGACCACTTTAGTTTTTAGCTGCTACACATGGCACTGTGACCCTGAACAAGACACACAACCTCTCTAAGCCTGTTTTCCAGCTACAAAATGATATTACCAACCTTAGGTCATCATTATTATTATTTATTTTAAGACAGAGTCTTGATTTGTTGCTCAGGCTGGAGGGCAGTGGTGTGATCATGGCTCACTGCAGCATCAATCTTCTGGGCTCCAGTGATTCTTCCACATTAGTCTCCTGAGTAGCTGGGACTACAGGCACGTGCCACCATGCCAGGCTATTTTATTTTTTTCTTTTTAAGGGACAGGGTTTCACCATGTTGGCCAAGCCGGTCTCGAACTTCTGAACTCAGGTGATCCTCCTGCCTTGGCCTCCCAAAGTGCTGGGATTACAGGTGTAAGTCACAGCACCTGGCCAGAACATTATTTTTATTATTAAGTTCAATCATGTGCAAGAAAATGTTTTGTAAACTGTTTAGTATAATTCAAATGCTAGAATAAAAATGGAGAAACAGGAGAAACATATTACTTTATTTTGTTTGTTTGTCTGTTTTTTGAGACAGACTCTTGCTCTGATGCCAGGCTAGAGTGCATTGGTGTGATCTTGACTCACTGCAACCTCTGCCTCCCAGGTTCAAGCGATTCTCCTGCCTCAGCCTCCCAGGCAGCTGGGACTACAGGAGCTCACCACCACGCCCAGCTAATTTTTTGTATTTTAGTAGAGACAGGGCTTTACCATGTTGGCCAGGATGGTCTCGATCTCCCAGCCTCAGGTGTCCACCCGCCTCTGCCTCCCAAAGTGCATTTTGTTGTTTTTTAAATAGAACTGTTCTGGTTTTGGCTTAGAGGAAATGTTTTCTCTAACACCTGGCACCTTTTGAAAAACTACGAATAAACTATTTCACCTGTGGTTGACTCGTAATTATTTCATACTTCTGTGAAGAGAAGGAAATATAATAGGAAGTAGTAATTTTAGACAAATTCTCAAATCACCCCTATATTCCTGAAGACTTTTTGGTCAGGAAAGCAACCCTGTGTAGATGAAATACGGAGTTTAAATTAGTTTTACAGAAACATTTAGTTACATTGTTAAAAATTAAATCTCCATTATGTTTTGTTTGAACAATAATTAGTTTTATGGCCAGGCCGTGGCTTACGCCTATAATCCCAGCACTTTGGGAGGCCGAGATGGGTGGGTCACTTAAGGCCAAGAGTTTGAGACCAGCCTGGCCAAAATGGTGAAGGCTCATCTCTTCTAAAAATACAAAAATTAGCCGGGCACGGTGGCACGCGCCTGTAGTCCCAGCTACTTGGGAGGCTGAGTCAGGAGAATCGCTTGAACCTGGGAGGTAGAGGTTTCAGTGAGCCAAGATCATGCTACTGCACTCCAGCCTGGGCAACAGAGCCATATTCTGTCTCAAAAAACAAACAAAACCACATGACTAGTTTTACGAAGATAATTTAGTAGTAGAGTCCTGAGAAATGACAGAAAAGGGCTGAAGGAAATAACTGTCTTTAACATTTGTTGTAGTTTTACATAAATAGAAACCAAAATAGCAATTATTTACTAGACTAGATCATCTAAGTCCAGATGCTGATAGGTAATATCACCAACAAACAATTTGTTTATTGTTAGCAAGACTTTAAGTGCTGAATGAAAAGCAAGAAAGAAGAGGAAAAGTAAATATGTAATAATACAATATCTATCACAGCTCAGAAATTCAGAAATTTCACTCAGGTCAAAATGCCAGTCATTTCACCCCTGCCAAAATCTCCTTGGAGAGCCTGTCTGCCTGCAGACTGGAAGGACATTCCTTAAATAATACGGGCTGTGCTCTGATCTCTGACCAGCTAATTTGACTAGGGGCAGTCGCTTGGCCCAAACTGAGTCAATCATATTGTCAGAGACACAGAAGCTGAAGTGGATGGTGTTGACACTGAAGATACAAGGTCATGAAGAGTTGGCAAAACTGGCAGCATGGCAGCCCAAAGCCATATGTAAGCCAGCGTTATGAAGGAGAAGAAACTAAAAAAAAAAAAACTTACAGAGATGCAGAATAACTAGTCTGCAAAAAGGAAAATGGAGCAGATGTGAAACAAGGACAAAGAGATTGGGAAACCAAGCAAAGGGAGGACCAGAAAGAGGGAGAGAAGCTGTCTGATCACACATGCTTTCTTCAGTCGGGTTCTGTATAATACCTTAAAATAAATCTCCTTCCCTTTACTTGTGCTGGCTCCAGTATATTTTGATTCCTCAGAACCGGAGGTTACTTTAGTAAGATATGCACCGATTGGACTAGAGCCAAAAATAAAAAAGTAAACAAGGAAAGCATCTGAATAGCCAAATTGCATTTCCAAAATACTATATACAGAAGCTCATGGGGTACTAAAAATCTTTTATTACTTTTAAAATTTGTATAACAGCTGTATTGAGATTTAACTTACATACTATAAAATTCACCCTTGTTTCATTGCTTGTTTACTTTTAATTTTTTCATTCCATCAAGCTTCCAGATCTGGTGTTCCAGTCTATTAGTAACTTTATTAACAGACAGAATGGCCAGTAGAAGCAAGCACACTACAGCAATAAAAAGTGACAGTTGACAGCCTAGCAGCAAAGGAGGAAACAGAAAAAGTATAAATAGGAGTACAATAATTCCAAAGGAAAAAAAAAAAAGGCGATCTGGGGCCATTTAGAGTGTTTTTGTTAGTCTCCTTTGGTTCCGAGGAACAGCTCAAGTTACATCTAATATTAGGGGAAGGAGTTATTAGGAACGAAGAAAACAGGGATCTCAGCCCCAAAGGGCCTCGTGGGAACCCAGGAAAGGCCAAATCACCAAGCTTCTGGAAGAACAGGAGCTTCGGGAGCCAAAAGCCTCATGAGCCAGGACGTCATCAGGAATCCAAGGTTACCCCAGGACTTCAGCATCAGGAGTTCACCTCGGCGATGAGTTATTTTTGTGAATCAGCTCTCCCTTCCGTCTGTGCTTGTCAGTGTTTTTCGGTTTCTCTGCCTGCCTCTAACTGACTTCCTCATCCTTTCTTTGGAATTTGCAAACTGGCGACTCCTGACCTATTTCAGCCTGCAGACTCATTGTGTTTGGCCAGCATGGCGCC